GATGCTTTTGCGCAAAAAGTGCTTTTGCGCAAAAGCATCCATGCCCAATATGGACGCGCTTTTGTGCAAGAAAACTTCGATGGCCATTTTAGCCATCGGCTTTCTTGCGCAAAAAATTAAGGCGCCTGTCTACACTGGCCCTCTTGCACAAGTATTCTTGCGCAAGAGGGCTTATCCCTGAGCAGGAGCATCAAAGTATTTGCGCAAGAAGCACTGAATTCTTACATTAGAACGTCAGTGCTCTTGCACAAATTCAAGCAGCCAGTGTAGACAGCTGGCAAGTTTTTGCGCAAAAGCAGGTGCTTTTGCGCAAAATCTTGCCAGTCTAGACCCTCCCTAGGTGTGTGGGTTACATCTGCACTTCACTATGTTAGCGGGAGATGTTCCCTGTTCTCATAGCTTCCTCCTTGTCTTGTGATTGATTAATTACATTGATGAGAGAGTACCCCCCTTTCCAGAACAGACAGGCAGTTTGCAGACACACAACCTTGGATCTGAAAGCAAGTCAAAAGTGCTATCAACTCAGCCTTGAACAGAAACACCGTGAAGTTTCTGGGCTTGGATTTTTTTAAAACAATAATTAGTTTCCTTGGAAGACACATTTAACCCTTAGGATGCAGGTTTTACAAATTTACAATGTATAGATTTTATTCTTTTATGCAGTTAACCAATTAAGTTTCAGTAGAATTCCTTATTTTCCCTTTAATAGATTTAACCAAGTGTCTGTAGCCAAATGTTTAAACTTGATTGTTTCTTTGCCTAGATGATTAAAAGAGGCTGCAAGAAACAAGAAGTCATTTTTAAAACAGTTTTTTTTCTCCTTACACATTACAATATTGCTTAAGTTTTTTTTCCTTAGAATTTGGAGGAACACTTTCCTTAAATTGTTAAACTTATTCTAAACTCGGTGTTTTGCTTTGGATCGGGCAAGTTTGTTACAGGTTAATTTCTTTCAGTTATTTTTCATGTTTCCTCTCTATCTGTATATGTGTCATAAAGAGGGGTAGAGGGGTGATTTTGTGCCGAATTCCCCCCCAAGCTTGGTTGATATGGGTGTGCCAAGTGAGAAATCCTTCCCCCCCCCACTTCTTGTGCATTATTTTGGCACCGAGGTGCTGCAACAGCTTGTAAGTCACATTTTTTTTACTGCAGGGCGGATTTTTGCTTTTCTGAGCTTTACTTTCATTCCTCGGGGCTTTATTTTTTCTTCTTTTCCAATTTGTTAAATGCTTACAGGTGCTTGGACCATTATGCACATACATGTAGTACATAGGGGTGCCTTTCGGCAGTATGGAGGGATGTTTAGACTAACCCCCACCTAAACTAACTCTACACACTCCAAAGAAAGAGTCTGCCGGGTCTAGAGTGTCAAACCTTAGCAGCTCATGAAATCAGGGCAGTCGTCACTCCCTCACATATCCGCTGAGTCTCGAGGTTCAGCTGACCCTCCCCCTTTGCGTTCAGAGCTCCCTCGTGGGAGAGCCCTGGTGCATCTGGGATCAGCTCAAGTCTCAGACCTATGCAGCGACCTATGTAATACTTCACTCACTACATTCATACTCATTTTCCACGCACATTTTTTTTCTACAGTTTTCACATTTAGATGCATCTTTCTTTACTGTCCAGTTTCCATGGGTTTCTAGTAAGTGGCACTGCCTTAAGACACCCGGCACTTAATATCAGATTTCATTAGGATCCTATACCAGGGAAAACCAGGGCATTGGAATTCCTGTAGACTGACCTACCCCCATTTTCTGCGCACGCTTTAAAAGATTCTGTAAGGCACCGAACCGAGTCCGCCTGTTCACACTGATCACCCCCCTTTTTGTTGTGAGACGCTGGACCAAAATCCACCCGCTCACAGGGGTTTCCGGCACCCACCCCAGCCCGACAGAACACCACGTCCTGGCGCCTGGAGACAGCCTGACGGAATGGGGAAATACTATGGCCTGGGGTTAGCCTCAGAGGTTAGTACTACGTCCGCAAGTAACAGAACGAGACAACAAAGCTTTCCCACAGTTCTGTGTACCGAGAGAGTGTAATGGCACCACACCAGCTTTCAGCATCTGAACACGGAGGGTCCAGCGCATGGCTGCCTCACTAGAGACACCGGTGTGCCCTTTTGGAACTGTGACACATAAGACAGGCCTACAAAACACAGACAGACAAAATGTTAGCCACTCCACAGAATTGGATTCCGTAGCTCCCCTTACCCTGACGGCTGGCCGTCACTCCAAATCCCAAGCCCTCACCAGGAGATTTCGTAACAGGTATCCCTCTTACCTTCTACTGAGCGCTCTGAGAGGCTTGGAAGTGGAGTGCTGGTCCATCTGCAGTGGCAAGTGGCACGTTAGGAATCTCGGTGGAACCTCCAAATTGTTGAAGCAAATGCTCCCCTCTGTTTTGGTGGCTAACAAACAGCTTTATTGATCAATAAGGCAAGAGTGAGCCAAACGTGATCCCAGCAGAGCCGGGCCCAGTAAGGCTGTTCAACACAATCAATCCTAGTATTTTATACCCTTTACCAAACAAGTCTGACGTCAGGGCAAGAAATCAAAGCAAACTTCAAAGAGGAATTATTATCAGCAAAGAAAGAAACAGGTTTTTATGTTCTTAAGTGATGCAACCATGAAAAAGGCTAATGTAATTCTAGGATGTATCAGGCAAGGTATTTCCAGTAAAGACAGTAAAGTGATATAGAAGGCATTGGAGAGAGCTCATCTGGAATACTGCACCCAATTCTAATATGCCAGACATAATAAGAATGAAATCATAAGAACATAAGAATAACAACTGGTTACCTGTGTTTTAGACCACTTCATAATAATAGGGTGTACGATGAAAGGCATACATTTATCTAGCATCTGCAACAGCTTTGATTCATTGACACATATATCAGAGCTTTTGTCCAAACAGTAAGTCATAGTGTCATGGCTCCCTACAGAATTAAAAACAAAGGTTAAGTTAGGGTATTAATATATGACTGGCACTATTTCACAACAGAAAATCATGTTACATATGTTCACCTATGTTTCCACCTCCCACCCAACCCCTGAAACATAACTATGTATTGGCAAAAGGCATAGATGTCTTCATTGCAAAATAGATGTGCTTTTTACAGCAAGGTAGCTAATTCAAGATTTACAGCTCAATGTAAAATCCTAATGGAAAAAAGACACTGTCACTTTTTTCCTATGTAGCTAGTAAAGGCCAATCCTATACCCCTCACCTGGTTCATCTCAATGTAGCTACCTTAACGTAAAAGCAACAAGACCTTGTCTCCAGTAGGAGAGACGCAGCGGGGGGGGAGGGGTGGAGATGGGAGTGGAGAGAGTAGGCAGCATCCTGGAGACTGCGGGAGGTGAGGAGGACTGGGGTACTCAAAGGATATGGTGCTTAAATGATTTGACAACAACATCAGTATGTTGAGGACAAAGTTAATATTTACCTGGAAGAGATAAGTTATAGAGAGGAACATGCAAAACGCTAATTTGAACTAGTTTTTAGTTCTAGACACGTTAGTTCGAATTAGCTTAGTTTGAATTAACTAATTCGAACTAAGTTAGTTCGAATTAGCGCTGTAGTGTAGACGTACCCTTATAGTCCTAGCCTTCACAGCCTCCTCAAGCAAGGAGTTCCACAGATTGACTATGCACTGTGTGAAAAAGAACTTCCTTTTATTTGTTTTAAACTTGCTGCCCATTAATTTCATTTGGTGGCCCCTGGTGCTTAGATTATGGGAACAAGTGTATAACTTTTCCTTATTCGCTTTCTGCACACCACTCATGATTTTATAGACCTCTATTATATCCCCCCTTAGTCTCCTCTTTTCCAAGATGATAAGTCCCAGTCTATTTAATCTCTCCTGATATGGGACCTGTTCCAAACCCCTAATCATTTTAGTTGCCCTTTTCTGAACCTTTTCTAATGCTAGTATATCTTTCTTAAGATGAGGAGACCACATCTGTAAACAGTATTCAAGTTGTGGGTGTACCATGGATTTATATAAGGGCAATAAGATAATCTCTGTCTTATTTTCTATCCTTTTTTAAATGATTCCTAACATCCTGTTTGCTTTTTTGACTGACACTGTACACTGCGTGGACATCTTCAGAGAACTATCCACGATGACTCCAAGATCTCGTTCCTGATCAGTTGTAGCTAAATTAGCCTCCATCATATTATATGTATAGTTGGGGTTATTTTTTTCAATGTGCATTACTTTACATTTATCCACATTAAATTTCATTTGCCATTTTGTTGCCCGGTCACTTAGTTTGATGAGATCTTTTTGAAGTTCTTCGCAGTCTGCTTTGGTCTTAACTGCCTTGAGCAGTTCAGTATTGTCTCCAAACTTTGCCACCTCACTGTTTACCCCTTTTTCCAGATCATTTATGAATATGTTAAAGAGGGTTGGTCCTAGGACTGACCCTTGGGGAACACCACTAGTTACCCCTCTCCATTCTGAAAATTTACCATTTATTCCTATCCTTTGTTTCCTGTCTTTTAACCGGTTCTCAGTCCATGAAAGGATATTCCCTCTTATCCCATGACAATTTAATTTACATAAGAACCTTTGGTGAGGGACCTTGTCAAAGGTTTTCTGGAAATCTAAGTACACTATATCTACTGGACCCCCCTTGTCCATATGTCTGTTGACCCTTCAAAGAACTCTAATAGATTAGTAAGACATGATTTCCCTTTACAGAAACCATGTTGACTTTTGCCCAACAAATTATGTTTTTCTATGTGTCTGACAATTTTATTCTTTACTATTGTTTCAACTAATTTGCCCAGTACTGATGTTAGAATTACCGGTCTCTAATTGCTGGGATCGCCTTGGGGCTCTTTTTAAATATTGGCGTTACATTAACTATCTTCCAGTCGTTGGGTACAGAAGCCAATTTAAATGATAGGTTACAAACCATAGTTAATAGTTCCACAATTTCACATTTGAGTTATTTCAGAACTCTTGGGTGAATGCCATCCGGTCCGGTGATTTGTTACTGTTAAGTTTATCAATTAATTCCAAAACCTCCTCTAATGACACTTCAATCTGTGACAAGTCCTCAGATTTGTCACCTACAAAGGCCGTGTCAGGTTTGGGAATTTCCCTAATATCTTCAGCCGTGAAGACTGAAGCAAAGAATTCATTTAGTTTCTACGCAATGACTTTATCATCTTTAAGTTCTCCTTTTGTATCTCGTTAGTCACTGTACCTTTTAATTTCTGTTTAACTAAACTCATTTTTGCATAGTTCCCCTTTCTGAAATTAAATGCCACAATGTTGGGCTGCTGAGGTATTCTTCCCACCCCAAGAATGTTAAATGTTGTTATATTATGGTCACTATTTCCCAGTGGTCCTGTTGTAGCTACCTCTTACCTGCGCTCCACTCTGGACTAAATCAAGAATTACATCTCCCCTTGTGGGTTCCTGTATCCGCTGCTCCAATCTCCCCTTGTGGGTTCCTGTACCTGCTGCTCTGATTTTGTCCCTGCATCTAGTCCTGAGGTGACGTGTACCCAGTCAATATGGGGATAATTGAAATCCCCCACTACTATTGAGTTCTTTATTTTGATAGCCTCTCTAATCTCCCTTAGCATTTCATAGTCACTATTACTATCCTGGTCAGGTAGTCAATAATAGACCTCTACTGTTATATTCTTGTTAGAGCAGGGAATTACTATCCATAGCGATTCTATGGAACATGTTGATTCATTTAGGATTTTTACTTCATTTGATTCTAAATTTTCTTTCACATTTAGTGCCACTCCCCCACCCACACGACCTGTTCTGTCCTTCCGATATATTTTGTACCCCGGAATGATTGTGTCCCATTGATTGTCCTCATTCCAGCAGTTTATAGTCATCCTGTGATCAACTAATATACATAGATCTTCTCCTCTTTTGTTGCTGCCAACTGATAAATCCCCAGCTTATAGCAGATGTTCTTGTTAGTCCCTACGTGCATGATCTTACACTTTGCATTATTAAACTTCATCTTATTTTTATTATTCCATTTTAAAAGGTTGTCCAGATAATCTTGTATGATTTTTCCAGTCCTCTTCCATGCTGGTGATACCTCCCTACTTTTTGTCACCTGCAGACTTTATCAGCACATCCCTATTTTTATGTCATTAATAAAAATGTTAAATGAAATTGATAGCTGAGGGACTCTACCAGTAACCTCCCTTCATCATCACCATTCTGTATGACCTGTTGTAATCTCCACTTTAGCCAGTTCCTTATCCACATTTCAATTCTCTTATTAATCCCCATCTTCTGTAGTATAATAATTTCCTATGTGGCAATGTATCAAATTGCTTACAGAAATTAAGCCAACTAGGTTCATTGCATTTCCTTTGTCAAAAAAAACCCTTATCTTTTCCAAACTAGGTTCATTGCATTTCCTTTGTCAAAAAAACCCCTTATCTTTTCAAAGTAGGTGTTTGGGTTAGTCCTGCATGATTTTTTACCTTTTGTAAAACCATTTTTCAGTTTACCCAAGTTACTATTTACCATTCTGGCCTTAACTACTTAACTACTTTCTCTTACAAAATTTGTTCCAAGATGTGACATACAGTTGAAATCAAACAAACAGGGCTACAGTTTCCCAGATCAACTTTTACTCCTTTCTTTAAAATCTGTACTAATTAGCAATTCTTCTATTGCACTTGTAATTTCATCTGACTGTTCCTTTAACGTACTTGGAAGGAGATTATCCAGACCCCTGATTAGGTCCCATTAAACTACTTGAGTTTGACTTCTACATCGGATGTGGTCACTTCTACTTTCATATCTTTGTTTCCATTAGCCACTCTGCTACTACCCTTAAATTCTTCATTACCCTTATTAAAAATAAGGAAAAGTATTTGTTTAATTATTATGCCATTCCTAGATTACCTTTAACTCCACCCTATCCTCAGGTTTTCACAGTCCCACTTATTCTTTATTTTCTTTTTATTTATATGGTAATAGAACCTTTTTATTATTGTTTTATATTTCCTTTGTAAGACCCAACTGTACTTGGCTTTTGGCAGTTTTCACTTTTCTCTACACTTCCTGACCTCCACGGGGTAGCTTTCCTTGATGATCCCTCCCATCTTCCATTCCTTCCTCCAGCGTGTCAGATCGTCACAGCACTTTTACATACGTACAGTGTGGAGAAAGGAACGCTGGTCTAAACACTGACTTCACAACAAAGAAAAACGCTTCCTATTTAATTAAAAATAGCTGTTAACAACAAAGCAGAGAACTGTAATCAGTCTGAATGAAAATCACTTCCCTTCTCAGTTAATCAGATTTCACAGCATTGGTGGCTTTGTTGTCATAATCCTCTTGTTTTTAATTATTGAGAAAAGTTTCTATAGTAGAGAAGACATGATTTTCTAATGTACAATACAAACTCATGAGTTGGGGCAACCCTTTATATCATAAAGTAGCGACACAAACTCAATTGCTTTTCTTTTGCAGGTCACCTCTAGAATTCTTTAAGACATTTTGAGGACATGAAAAAGTCAAGTAATTATTTTTCCTAGACAAGTAACATTAATATAAGCCCCCCCCCAACACTTTTCCTAATCTTGTATTAAATAACCATAATATTTTGATATAATTCTCTATTTAGCACTGCACACAAATGAATATTGGCATGATGCATAACATTTTAAGGCTTATTTAGGAGTAACCTGGTGCCTTTTGTTTTTTAATGACCCAAGACTCTATAACCTAGTTATTATTTGATTGTATGTATGCCAATATTTTCCTCCATTGAAAACATAACAAAGAGAATATTTCTACTTGAGACTATTTCAGAAACCCAGTAAGGATTCACAGGGTTTGTCTGTGATAGTATAAAAATCATCAATTGACTATAATCTCATGACATGAATAAGATATTATGCATGCTAATGTGAGAGACAAGGAGAAAATTCATCTAACAATGTAAAAGATGTTCATTTCCTGGAACCAAACACAAGCAAATATTTAAATTATTTAACACTAGCACATTTACTTGGCATTGTTTGAGCTCTTAAGGAGGGGCAGGAGACTTTAGAGGTGTGAAGAGTCAGAGTAGGGGGATTCTTGAGAATGCATAGCTTGGAGATGGAGCAGTCCTGGATAGAGGGAGGGTGTACCACCAGCCAGCCTCTTTCACCTGCCTAGTGAACCAGTCTCTTTTCTGTATGGTTTTATGAGAAGCAATCCCATTCCAGGCACATCCTATTGTCCTGCAACAACCGAACCCTGGCCTTGCTTCAAGTTATGATAAGAGGAAGTTGCATACCAAAATTGGTGGTCCTAGGACTTACCATTTAGGAAGAGTTCTTGAACAAACAGACAAACACAGAGATAGACGAACTCTCTCAGATTTGTGCAGTGAGATATTAAAAAAGAAGCATATAATCAATTAATTTAAATTGAAATATTAGTGTGGATGGAGCCTCAGTAAACAATAAAAGCCTCAGTGTTTTTTT